CCGCCCCCCCCCCCCCACGGCACCCTCCCCCCCCCCCCCTCCCCCCCTCTCTCCCTTCCCCCCCCCCCCCTCCCTCTCTCTCTTCCCCCCCCCCCACTCGCGCTTCCGTCCTCCCCATTCTTCCACTCTCCGTCCTCCCCCATTCTCCCACACTCTCCCTTCTTTTCTCCCACAGAGATGCCGGACAAGGAGAGCGGGCGCGACAAGGAGGGGGAGAGGCAGGAGGAGGGTGAGGCTGGGATGACGGAGGAGACTGAGGGCTGGCTGGAGATGCCGTCCTCGTACACGGAGACTCTGAGCACCTTCTGCAGTACGACCACCATCCACGGGGCGGTGAGGCTGATCTGTACGGAGGGCAATCGGATGAAGACCAGCCTGTGGGCAGCCATCCTGGCACTCACGCTGGGTGCCATGTACTGGCAGATCGGTCTCACCTGCCGGCAGTACCTCCAGTTCCCGGTTCAAATCTCCCTGTCGATCCACAGCGGCAACATACAGTTCCCCACTGTCACCGTCTGTACTCTCAACCCATACCGGTAAGGCTTCCTCTACACTGATCCCCCGCATCAAACACTCCCAGGGACGTTTGGGTTAGGTTCAGAATAAAGGTCTCTCTACACTGTCCTCCATCAAACACTCCCAGGGACGGCACAGGATTAGATGCGGAGTCAAGTTCTCTCTCCCCCGTACCCAAACTGATGTGAATGTATTTGTGCCCGCTGCAGGTACAAAGAGGTAAGCGCAGATCTGAGGGAGTTGGACCTTTTGACCCAAGAGGCCCTATTCGTCCTGTACGGCTACGGGGCCTCCGGGGATGGAGCTCCCACACCACCCACCCAGGGCCCCCGAGCGGCCATCCCACGGCGCCTGGGCTTGCGGCTGATCAACCCTGAGGGGCGGCGCGGTTCGCCAGCCCTGGAGATCAGGCCCCGACGAGGGAGAGGTGGCGGCGGCGGCGAAGGGGATGCCTGGGCCCACAGCCCGCCTCTGGCCCGCAACAGCTCCTGGAAGATCGGCTTCGAGCTGGTAAGTTCCGGGAAAGTGGGAAGGGACCATTGGAGAGGGGGGGTGGGGGTGTTGGGTGCAGGGGTGGAAGACTTGTGCAGGATACGTGCTGGGATGCGTCAGGCATCTGCGGACCCAGACCCCATTCGAGTGTGGATCCCGTTTTGATCGGTTGATCGATCTGGCGGGGCGGTGCGCCAGTGCCTTCCTGCTGTCTCCACCCAGGCTCTGGAGACCCAGGATGCTCGGGGGTGAGGCCTGCCCCAATTTTTCTTTTTGGCCCATTCTCACATTTTCTATCTTCCTCCCCCGTGCTTTCTCCTCCGCCCC